GTGGATGCTAATTCACAATGAGGGGGAGCACTAGAGAAGAATAGAGTTACCTTAGATTAGGTAGAGGGGAGTGAAGGGAGGGGATATGGGCATAAGAAGAATAGTAGAATGAAACATTATTACTTTATGTATATATATGAGTGCAGACCAATGTGAATAATATGTACAATCAGAAAAATGAGAAATTGTACCCCATCTAGATATATCAAAGTGCATAAATGCATTCTACTTTCATGTAAACATTAAACCAAGAACAATAAAAATTTAATTTTTAAATTAAAACAAATTTAAAAATCTCAAGGGATCCCCAGTAACCAAAACAATCTTGAAAAAAAAAGATGAACAGAGCTAGAGAACTCAGGTTTCAAACCTTGCTGCAACGCTACAGCAGTCAAACAGTGTGGCCCTGGCAGAAAGAGAGACATATAAATGACAAAGGCACTGGCGACGTGGAATAGAGTAGAGAGAACAGAAATAAACCCTCACATATATTACAAAATAATTTTTGACAAAGTTGCCAAGACCAGTCATGAGGAGATGACAGTCTTTACAACAAAGGATTCTGGAAAAACTGAATAACCACATGCAGACCAATTAAACTGGGGGCTGGGATTGTGGCTCAGAGGTAGAGTGCACGCCTAGTATGCATGAGGCAGTGGGTTCAATCCTCAGCACCATGTAAACAAATAAAATAAAATAAAGATATTGTGTCCACCTATAACTAAAAATAAATTTTTAAAAAGTGTCAAATTGGATCCCTACCTTACACCATATATAAAACTCAACTCAAAATGAATTAAAGACCTTAGTAAAAGCTAAACTATACAATATTTAGAAGAAGTATAGGGTAAAAAACATCACAACATTGGATTTTTTTTTTTTTTTTTTTAACAGGGCCTCACTATGTTGCCCAGGCTGATCTTAAACACCTGAACTGAAAGGATCCTCTTGCCTCAGCCTCTCTAGTGGTGGGATTAGAGGTCCACACCCTGAACCTAGCCCACAGTATTGGATTTTGCAATAGTTTATTGAATATGACACCAAAGGCACAGATAACAAAAGAAAGACACACAAATCAGATTTCATGAAAATTGTAAAAATGCTGTGTATCAAAAGACAATACAAACACGTAAAAACAGCAACAAATGGATCTGGGAGGCAATATTTGTAAATGACCTTTCTGATAAAGGGTTAGTTTCCAGGCAACAGAGAAAGTCTAAAATTCAACATGAAAAGACAGAAGACATGATTTTAAAATGGGCAAAAAAAAACTTGAATGACATTTCTCCAAAGAAGATATACAAATGGCCAAAAATCTCATGAAAAGTTGCTTAACATGACTAACAATTGAGGCAATGCAAATCAAAACAGCAAGCTATCATCTCATACCCACTAGGAAAAAAAAAAAAAACAAAACACCAGAAAATAAATGTTGGTGAGGATGTGGAGCCATTAGAATACCTGTGCATGGTTGGTAGAAATGCCAAATGGTCCAGCCACCTTGGAACACAGCAGAGCAGTTACTCAAAGTAGGAACAGATAGAATCACTACACAGCTCAGCAGTTCTACCTCTGGATATACATCAAAAAGAACCAAAAGCAAGTCTCAAAGAGGCATGTGTGCACTCACGTTCACTGTGGCAGGTTTAACAAAAGCTAAATATGGAAGTCACCCTAGCATCTGTTGATGGATAAATGGACTGGCAGGGTATGTTAGATACATATGGAGGAATATTGGTCAGCCTCTAAAAGGAAAGAAACTCTATAATCTGGTACAACATAGATAACCTTTGAGGACATAATAATAAGCCTGTCACAAAAAGACAAATACTATAAGATTCCACTTAAGTGAGGCATCTAGCATAGTCAAAATTAGAGTCGGAAAAGAGAAAGGCGGTTGCCAAGGAGCGAGAGGAGGGGGAGTGAAGAGTTATTGTTTAAGGGGTACACAGCTTCCGTTTTAGGAGATGGAGAGAGTATGGAGATGGTGGTGGTGGTGGCCACACAACTGTATGAATGTATTGACACTGAACTGCGCACCTACAAATGGTTAAGATGGTAAATTTTGTTATGTGTATTGTAACCACAATAAAAAATTATTGAAAGAGAGAGACAACACTAACACCCATCCTACTGTGTACTGTTGAGTCTCAAACTGGTGTCCTTGTAAGCTCCTGGGAAGGTAAAATTGACTGTTGAGTTATAGTATCTCTGGTTCTATTACGTAACTAGCTAACATTGTAATGTCCTCCCATAAAAGCTAAGACAGCTGTTTAGTGGAAATTCCAATGTTCTTTCTACCCTACCAAGGAATACTATCAATATTATTAATATATAATAAGATGACAGTTAAAAATCTGAAGAAACCAATCTCTTTGTTGTTCAGATTCATTTTAATGTGAAAAGTGTATATGACAAAAATCTAGTCGAATACATAGAAAGTGGCCCACTTTAACCCATGGTGACTGCGACCCTTGCATTTAAGCTGATAAATTACTAACAGTGACTCAGTGTCTGGTGGATGACAAGGATGCTCAATGTGCAACACAATGGTGGTGTTCTCTGGACATCAATGTCACATGCAGGTAGGTGTCCTGAAAACTTGATATGCTGGTCTTTTTAATGATGAGAATTAGCTGATTGGCATTCCCATGGATTAAACTAGTAATGTCCACCCCATCGATGTGAGGGGGGTTATTGCTTTCCTTCTGGAGGGTGAGAATGCTTTAGAGTAGGGGCAGAGAGCAAATCGTTTAGGTTTTGCAAACCATGCAGTCTGTGGTGCAACTACTCAACTTTCCTCCTAAAATGCAAAAATAGTTTCAGGCACTATGTAAACAAAGGGGTGTAGCTAAACTACAACTTTATAAACAAAATAATCATGGGCCGGATTGGGTCTCATAGTTTGCTAACCCCTGCTTTGAAATATCATAAAGCCCTCATTAAATTATGGGTCTCTTCTCACAACCCTTGGCTGTACTCACCATACTGCTGACTTCTATCCCTTTTTTCTGAAGTTCTAATCCTACAGCTAAGCAAACTTAGAAAGTGCCAAAGCCCAGAGAAATGATCAAGCCAGGTGGCCATTTGAGCAGACCCTTTGCCTCCCAACATGATCATCAAAAACCTCACATTATTCTCAAAACATCATTGTCAAAAAAAAAAAAAAAAAAAAAAGCAATGTTGAAAATAATATCCAAGTTTTGAAAATAAACTGCTGTGCTCCAGAGTAAAGCTATGGATATTTTGATGGGGAAAAAAAAGGATGAATGCTTTCTAGAAACTAGTAATGCTTTGCAAAAATGCAACCTGATCTTAGCCTCCTTTTTGTTAACTGATCAAATTTACCTCTTGCTTTTCCATAATAAAAGTCCACTCATTGCCAAAGTTCATTGTTGATTTAAGCCAAAGGTCACTTAGCAAACACATCACCTTCTTTATGCTTCTCTCTCTCACCCTACCATGTCTGGAAATATCAGGAAGTCCTGCCAGAAACCTCAGAGGGTGCTCTTTAACTTTGGATCTTCATTTGTCTGTACATGATTGAACAATTCATTCTCAATCTAGGAGTTGTTCCCTTTGACTGTGTGGAAGAGGCTAGAATAGACCTAAAGGTGAAATAAACCTTTTGTTCCTGGTACTACTTTTAAGAATGTGAATTTTTAGGTAGTTGGTGGGATTAGAGGTGGGAGTTTCACAGATCTAGGTTCAGGAGTGCTTTTCTCCTTGACCAAGCTACTTGACCCCTTGGAGATCCTGAACCTCTGTTTTCTTAACAACTAAATGTATTAATATTTGCTTCACAGGATTGATAACAGTGAGCAGCAAATAGCAAATATTAGTGTTAGTTTCTCTCACTTTTTCCATATGTCCCTGGATGCCCTCAATTCTATTTGTTTGTACTATTCTGATAGCAGTTTTCTTTTCTGGTTTTGTATATCCTCCAATAAACTGCTGCCGTGTGTGCTACAAGTGTACCTAGAACACATGTAGGGTCTAGGAACTATGTACCCAAAGAAGATTGATGGGTGGAAAACATATTGGATAGAAAGAAACCTCAATCTCCAGAGTTGTTCAGCAGTCAAAAGATTCATCTTGTGCTCTTTTGGAAGGAGCCTTTGGGTGTGGTTTCAGTGATTACAATACAATCACCACGAGAAGTTTCTGGACCCTGGCATGGGGAAGGAGCAGGGATTCTAAGAAGTGACTTTAACATTGGATGAGGATGGCACTGATCACTCACCACTTACCCTAATCATGCAGTTCCCAAAAAGATAATTCAATTTCCTCAGTGTGGAAGCTGATTTGAAACAGGTCAGGGGAAAGTGAAATAGCCACCTTTGACCTATTTCTGACAAGATGCTATATATCAATGAGTTCTCTTCAATGGCATTTCCTGTTTGGAAAGGGAAATCCTGCTGTCACTTCTCCCTGAGGAAGTACCAGCATGGTGCTGGGTACGGTGGGTCTCTGGGGCTCCTCGTGGTGTCCCCTGTTGTGTAATACTGTGTGAGCACGATGCAGTTCACATACCTGAAAACATCATCATGTGCTGAAAGTTCCAGGGGATCCTCTGCTTTCGGCCCAGATTGAGGAGGAAGGAGAGGGGATATATGTTGCAGGCTCTAGCAACAAAAATTGCTAGCTGTAGACAAGCACAAGGACGCGTTGAGGAAAATGTCACTGTGATGAGGGGTTGACTCTGAGCTTAAATATTGTGTCCTTAAGCTGCTCTATATTACGACCCACAAAACAAAGATAAACATGTCAATTCCTACCTGTCCATCTTGCTTCCAGAAGTCATCTCTCAATGTCAATTCCTTTCCAGAAATCATAGAGAACTCTGCCTTTCTTTGAATACATACTTGATTTAAAATTGTTAGCCCCAGACCATTTCAATCACTGTGAATTTTCTCATCACATTTATGGTGCCAATGACTGGCTCCATCCTCAATTCTGCTGTGAAATGTGAGGCAGCGACTGTTCCTGGCATTATCTTCTCAAGCAGCGCTTTAGAAAGGACAAATGCATTTTTCTGCTCATGATTCGCATCTCACTTTCCATCAGTTTATACACTCGTATCTAGCCAGTTTTGCTTCCCTTTTTCTTTTTTAGTGGATTTAATTTTGAGAGGAATTGTCTGTCTAAATATGTGATACAACTGCCGCTTTAAGAGGCATTTTATTAAAAACAAGGTTGTAGAAGTAAAAAAAATCTATGAAAATACTGGTGTATCCATCTCTTCTTTTTTTGCTGACTTTGACTCCGTTCCTGATGGTCTGTTGTGGTTTGTTCTCAATGGAGTGACATTATTTGGGAAGAGGGAACTTTCTCCTTAGATCCTGGTTTTGAATAAAATTTGAGAAATAAGACAGAGTAAGAATCTGATGAAATTAGCATGATAGGCTAATTTGAGAGTTCAGCTAAATGCTCAATGAAAGAATAAGGAGATGGTAAGTGGAGGTGCTTAGTTAGGATAGCTTTAAAAGAAGGGTCAGCTCTCCTGGCTGTGAAGATGATCTACCAGTGCCACAAGAAGGTATCTTCTCATTTTCCACATAGGAAGAAGGACAACAGCTGCTAACCATGCCTGGGGACATTCCTGGTGGCTCAGTGTCCCATTAGGCAGATATCTGTTCCCATTGGGTATGCTTCTTGCCCCAGGCCTATGGATATGAAAGTCCTCTGCATTGAAGGTGAAGTCTAGATTTTATCTGTCCTCTTAGGAAAGCAAAGATGCTTTCTTATTGAAACAATTTTACATGTGCACAATATTTATAATGTTGAGAGTATATCTATCATGCAAATTTCATCAGTTCCTCACTCTGTGTTAGTTCCAAGGCCATCATTGAAAAAATAATTTTTACCATCTTGCAATGAAAACATCTCCAAAGCTTAATAATCCTGCTTGCCTTTTGATGTACGAATTCCAATTAAATACATTTCCCATAAGAAATGTCTTGACATAATTTTTATGTAAATGATTTATAAATTTTTAGCTAAACATACTTGGAATACTTTAAAAATGTCACTCTCCTTTAGTGTTCCCTCTTATTTCCCTCAGTATTTTCCAAATGTCTTATCCTGAACTACAGGTATCTAATGAAGTCCCCAATTTGTTAGGATGTTTTTCTCTCCTGACTGGAAATGGCATTATCTGCCTGGGTTAAGCCTCCCAGGGAAACCGAGGTCATACATTTAAAAGTCACTAGTTGGCTCTCTTCTCTCATCACCCCATGTTTTGTATTTCAAAGGATACAAAGGCTCCAAGTATAAAAAGAGCATTAAAGATGTGGTTCTGGAAGGTGAACAGCGCCAGGCCCATGTAACAGAAGATGACGTTCTCGGCCAAAAAGTTCATGAATTCAAACAACTGAAAATAAAACAGAAACCAAAAACCATTAATTATCACTCAGGCTTCCGTCCACTGAAATTCTGGGAACTGTGTTTGATGAGCCGGTGGTTCTCCATCATCTGGAAAGTCATTCAATGTGATCAGCCTCTCTGGGGCCTGTGGTCCCCACCAATTCTGTCAGGTCAGTTGACTTACCTGGTTCTCTCTCTACCCAGTGACACAGGCCACAGGCACAGCCACATCCCCATTCTTTTCAACTGTGAGGCTACAAGAGTTACCCCAGGTAGTATTAACCAACACGATCCTGCCATGCAGTGATTCTTACTAAGATGGCAAAATATTCCATTCAAGAAACATAAACCAAGTTGCAGTAAATGATGCAGGATGGCTTAACCCCTTCCATGTATCATCCAAGAGATGTACATAAGTACCCAGGCCCCAAAGAACCAAATTAAAAAAAAAAAAAAAACTTAGACTAAATTACCCTCCTCAGGCAGGCAGGAGAGACAAACTTGGAAAATTTGGAATAAGGATGAACTTCGATTATATTTTAGCATTAGAACGATCAGTTTATTTCGATCCTCAGACAATGACACTCATTAAATTGACTGATGTAGGCATATCCATTAAATGTCTACAATTTTTAGCTGGTAAAAAAGAAAATGATTAATCCCAGGGATCAGTTTATGCAGCAAGAACACAATAGATACATCAAATTCAGTCAGAAGAATGGAGTAATAGCTTGCTGTGCCCAGGGATGCGCCTGAGAGTTATTCTTAGACCATTAACTAAACAATTTAACTTGAACATGAAAAACGTTCTCCAACTTCCATATTAAAAGTAAAAGGGAAATGTGTCCAGGGGCAACAAAGGCAGATTTGGAAGAGACTTTATTTTATGTTACAGACTTTTCATTTGGAAGTTTCTGAAACTTCATTCTGGGACCTACATAAATCACGGTTAGGTAAACGTCTCTGGAGGCATTTCTCTTGACTTTTTAAGGACTCATTATTTTTTCATGTAATGTATTTACAGCCCCACAAATAATGCCCAACACCTGGTTCCCTGACAGTTGACAGAAAGAAAAGCAGAATCTTGTCAGGAACGTTATTTAAAACCAGGAATAGAAAGAAAGGATTAAAAAAGACACAGCTTCTTCAGTCCAAGATGGTCCTTCTGCAGTGGCAGCTGCCATCAAGTATCCTGAGCACTCATTTTATGTTTCTAGAGTAATATAAACAAACATGCTCCACAAATAGCCACAGAAAACTTGAAAACGTGGGCTCAGGGGCAACCTTTTTCTACCTCATTATATCCTTACTACCGCAGTCTGGCTGGGCACAAATCACAAGCCACTCAAGAGGAACAAACTTTATTTCTGAACTCCACCAGCACACTCCACACATGCTCCCCAGGAACTCTCCCGAACGCCACGTGGCTCCTCCAGGAACCACCAACCGGAAATCCCTCCTCTGGTACCTCCCCAACCAATGGGAACTCTTCAGGAATCCCCGCGAGAGCTCAACTGGAACTCAACGGGAACTCCGCAAGAACTCAAAAGTCATCATCTTAATGGCTTGCTGGCGTCACCTCTCAACCACTACTTCTGGCAAAAATGCCATGCGTCATCCGGACTCGGCTGTGGCCCTCAACACCTTACTTTTTCCAAAAGTGAGAGTTGAGTGATTAAAGTAACAGTTGTGTATTTCTCACAGTTCGGAGGACTGGGAAGTCCAAGATCAAGGTGCCAGCTTCCATGCTGGCAAAGACCCTCTCCCTGGTTTGCAAATGGTCACCTACCTGCTTGTTCTCACACAGATGAGAAATTATCTCTCTGTGTCTCTTCTAGACAATAAAGATGCTAATTCAATTCATGAGGTCTCCACCACCAAGATCTAACTACCTCCCCAAATTCTCACCTCCAGATGGCATCCCAGTGAGAATTAGGATTCAACACAAATTTGGGGGAAGGCACAAGTATTTAATCCTTAGCAGCAACCTGTTTTTTAACATTAATAGACATAAACAAGTTTAAATTCATATAATTTCTCCGTCAGTCCCCATCCCAAGTGTATTTTGCCCTAGAGGATATTTTTCCTCCTGGAATCTACTCAGCCACTTCTTAAGTGATGACACCCCAATATTCTTCTGGAGGGTCCCCCTTGTTCTCCATCATCTCCCTAGCTCAGATATGAAGCACGTAGCCTTGTGACTAAATTACTCAAATCAATGCGTTTCTCTAGGAAATGTGTTTGGTTCCAAAGTGGGTGTGACATATTGAGAGCAAAAGAAATTCCATGAAGTCTTGGCAGGGAAAAGATCTTGCAGGACAAAGATTACTGTGTTCTCACTGGATGAGAAATCAAAAGGATGATGTCCAGGAAGCTTCTGCCCTTCTTCTGATCCTAGGGGAAATGGTCGTGAGAGAAGCTGGGTCTTGGTTGCACTATTTAAGTCACCTGTATTCGACCTCCACCAAAGCAAAAATCTACCTGTGGACTTTTGAATTAAAGAGACAAAGAAATCATTTTGGTTCGAAGTAGAGGCCTATCATTTAAATCAAAATTCCCCTCCACAGTCCTGCACTAGTTTTTTAAAGACATTTTCCACTCTATTAGAATATAAACAGAAGGGCATGGGGTCAACTTTTTACTTTTTCAGATGATAACAGTCTCTTATTGTTGCCCACTATTCCCCCAACCCCAATTTTAATATATTTATTACCCTATTGAGAAAGGAAAAGTACATGGAACAAATTAACTGTCCCTGCTAGTTATTGAGATATGATGAGAATTTTTGCTATACACATTACATGGGGTTCTATGGTCTTAAGGATTTAGTTTAGAGATTGGCTTCCTTTGGATAACTCAGGGTTTTAATTTGACTTACTAACTCAGCTCATTGAAATCCAACACTGACAGACACGACAAGTTAACTGTGTATCTGCATGTAGTACACAAGTTCCATCAGCAGTTTTAATTGCTTCATCTTGTAGCCAACATTTGGTTTTGTTGTTTTTCAAATTCACACTTGTTCCTCTTGACACTATCATTTTAACTTAGAAATCATCCTGTTAATTTGCCCCAAAATTTCCTACTGGTATTTTAGATGGAATTGCATTGAATTTGTAGACACATTTGGACAAAATGTACATCTTTCCAGTATTAAAGCTCTAAATCCATGAACATTGTTCATGCTCATCACTATTTTGGTTTTCTTTAATTTCTCTTAGTAATTTCTATAGTAAGATTTTGTATAATTTATTTAGATTTATTTTTAAGTGTTTGATACCATTTATTATGATTGTAAATACAGTCTTTTTCCTATTTCATTTTCTAATTGTTTGTTGTTATATTCAAAAATATAATTTTTAATGGCTCTTACATTTATAGCTTTATTAAATTTATTTAATAATTCTCAGTTTATTGATTGATTCTTTTTTTGGATTTTCACAATCTTATTTCTTTTTAAGAAACATGGTTATAAAATAAGATTAGGCTTTTTGTCTTCCTTTTCAGTCTTTTAACACTTTGCGTCTTTTTGTATTTGTTGTTATTGTTTCATTACACTTGTTAAAACCTCTAGTATAGTGTAGAATGGAAGTTGTAATATGAGTATTTTTATTTTATTCTCAATCTCAAAAAAACTCCACTTCCAATGTTTCTCTATTAAGTTTATAGAAAACTCTTTAACAGATTACACAAGTTCTTTCTATTCTTAGTGTATTAGGAATAGTCATATGAAAAATAAGAATGTGTTGATTTTTGTCAAATACTTTTTCTTTACTTACTAGAATGATCATATGTTTTTTTGTTCTTTCAAAGTAGCTAATTACTTTAGTTGATTTAAATGCTGAAACAATCTTGCATTCCTGCAACAAAACCTAACTGATCATGATGTATTATCCTTTTTTCATATGTCACTGAATTTGATTTGATATATGTTTAAGGTTTTTGTGCTTATATATTGTGTAGGACTCACCAGATTGTACTGTTAAAGTTATATAAGTATCACAAAATTGGTTGCTTTCTTGCTGAAATGCTAAGACTAATTCTGGGCTTATAGTTATTTTGTAGATAGATTTCTATTTATATAAGTAATTATTTCAATAGATTCAGATATGTGTTATCTTTTTATTGCAGTGACCAAAAGACCTGACAAGAACAACTTAGAGGATGAAGTTTATTTAGATTTACAGTTTCAGAGATTCTGTCCATGGTCAGCTAATTTCATATCTCTGGGTTCAATATGAGGTAGAATATCATGGTGGAGGGCATGGTGAAAGAAAACAGCTCAGCATATGACAGCCAAGAAGCAGAGAAAGAGATAAAGCACTCTGCTCGCCAGGAACAAAATATAAACTCCAAAGGCATCTCCCCTTGACTTCCAGCCACGCCCTACCTGCCTACACTTACCACTAAGTTAATTTTCATAAGTGGATTAATCCACTGATTAGGCTACACCTCCCATAATCTCATAATTTCACCTCTGAAAATTCTTGCATTGTCTCACAGATGAAGTTTTGGGAGACACCTCATATTTAAATCATGAGATAGAATTAGTCAGATTATTTTGTATCATTTTATTAAATTGTGTTTTCAAGGAATTTGTCATTCATCTACATTTTCACATTTATTAGCATACAGTTGTTCATAATATCCTCCATGTTTTAGTGTCTTTAGTTTTTCCTTTCATACCTGACATTGGTAATTTGGCTCTTTCCTTTTTCATTTCTGATAAATCTTTTTAGAGAGTTTCCAATTTAAAGAGTGTTTTCATAAAACAACTTGGGCTTTGTTGATTTTTCTGTATTGTACCCTTCCCACATTTCATTAATTTCTTTTATCTTTATTTTTTTCCTACCTACTTCATACTTTAGTTTTATTTGTTTTTATTCAGTAGCTGGCCTTTCAAATTCTGGCTATTCTGGTGTCCTCAAATTCTTCTGAATACCGCCTTTTCTGTATACTACTAGTTGCTTTCTAGTTGCTTTCTAAAGGAGAGTTGTCCTGATACCC